CGAATAAAGCAAATTATTATTGTTATTATCATTATCTATGCTCAATAATTTTATCATGCAATTAATTGTAAGACCTGACAAGAAGTCACTATTCCACCCGTAAGAAAACCTGAATCTGCTTAAATCATGTTCTCTATTCACTAACTCTTGTTTTAATCATTCCATTTGATGATTATTGACAGGATGAAAAACGTGAGAATTTCATCGAAAAAGTTATGCAGTGTGATTGCATAATCTACAACATTAAAGATGATTACAAGGCAATTGATGATGCCTTATGGATATTGGAAAAACTACACGATAATCTTGATAAGTTTGCCGCACAAAAACAATTTATTCTCATCTCATCGGTGTTGACATGGGCAAAAAGTTCACTACCAGATCCAGTAGGTTTTCTATTACAGCATAAGTATCTCATGTAGGGCGAAATTCTAGAATGATCGAGAGATGCCGTTCACGGATGATGATTACCTGAGAAGAAAGGCACATTCTAATTATGAAGAACACATACTTGCTGAGAAGTCTGTAATACAACAAGGGAAAACAGTAAGTCAAGTGTATAGTTATTCAAATAATAATAATAATGTTATTATTGTTATTTTAGAATAAATTGAAACTACTCACTTATGTGGTGGCATGTGGTGTAACATACGGAGAGACTCAGAATGTGTTTCATCATTTTTTCAAGGTAATATAGTTCAGATAGAAGTGTTACTGACGATTTCTATCATCATTCCCATTTTCATAATCTTCTTTTTCTTTCATTCCTTTGCATCCTCAGGCGGGACATAAATCTTTGAGATTCAATTTTCAGAGGCGGTAATGTTGTTTGTAGGTTGTGGCCGCCAGTCTAACACGCACAGCCTTCCTCCCTCTTTTACTTGACCTTACTATCGGTTGGTTAGTAAGCTAGGCGGATGAAAATTGCACTGGAACCATAATATGTGCTGATGGCTAGTCAGCACTTCGTACCACTGAAGAGAGAGTGAATTATTCAGTCTACATTTTCACTATATACATGATCCTGAACACACGCGACTAGGAATTTCGTACAATGCCTTATAGGTGTTCCTTGAAGATTGGTTATTTACAGATTATGCAGCTACACAAGGCCTATAATCACCACAGTTGTTTTCACTGGAAACTGGAAATTATTCAGATCACTGTATATTTGTGATCTAATCCTGATACTGCACACACACACACACAGCAATCAGGAAAGCAAGCGAAATAGATGTTGATGCTACCACATACTACTTACTAGTGGATATGAGTAGCTGAGAACCACTGGTGTGAAACAGTCGTGTTTAGATTAGTGGTAAAGCTATCGGAGTGATTGTGTAAACGTCGTACACTGCCATTTTGCTCATTTTGGGGTCAAGATCATCTTGTTGATTGTCATTTATGGGTATCGAACATACCTCATATTGTGATCTTTATAGTTTACGTTACCAAAGGAAACTGTACTAGTTTGTCACCACGAAAAAATTTGGATAATTTCCAAATGACGAATTTTATTTCTTAGCACATTACCAGTTTTTTTTATTCCTTCACGTTCCCAGTAGAATATAAGGCTTCAAGCTAGTGGCTTGAAGTTTCTGTAGCAGTGTTCAATTTTTACAGGATGGGATTGCTAGCCTCATGCCCAACCGTTCCTCTTTACCAGCATTATTTCTAGCTCAGCGAGGTAAAGGAGTGCGTCGGCCGGGGATTGAACCCCAGACAAAGTGCATGGTCGGTGAGCGTCCTAAAGGCTATACCACCGACGCACTAAAGTTGGTGTAAATAACCGCCAAACTGCATGATTATGAAATACGATGGAGGCAGTCTTGTTGACAAATAGGAATCAATAAAGAGGATGTCACCAATGCACTATATACAAACACTTTTTAGTAACACATGCCACTCCAGTAGTAGTAGTAGTTCCACTTGATAAAAACCTGTCTTTATTTTAAAACATTTTAAAACAACACATCTAAATTCTTATTATTTATGCGTTAGTTGGTTCTACGGTCAGTCTGAGAACTCGTCTTTTTACCCCTTACGGAGTAAAGTTTATGGAAATCTCAGTAAATATAAAACACATTTATTTATTTCTCATTTTCCTAATTTTATTTATATTTGAAGGCTGCATGGAATAGTGAACCATTTCTTCAATTTCCTGGAGACAGAAACAACATTGTGCCGACAATACATTTACGTGATTTAACCAGGTATCGTTTTTGTAAACAACTATTTCTTTTTGATATGGTTGTGTTCTCTGAGCTGGATAGTTAATTTGCGAAGCTTTCATCGCCCTACAAGGCGACATCTTCAGCGCATACTTCAATTCGTCGAAGTGAGCTTTCAGATTTCTCCACGAGTTTATTAATCATCTCTCCTGGTGGGTGACCTTGGACGTGATTGGTTGTTTTTGTGTGTTTTCACACCTTCTAGGTTATTTGTATTGTAATTCATTGTTTCTTTGACTTGAAATTTGATCCTTTGTGTGTGACGTTTCTTTCTTATCGGCTGATAAATTTTGTCAATGTCGATGTGTCTATTGATTGATAATTCACTGGAATGCCAAGCTTCTAAAAATTCTCTAGCATTCTTGTTGTTTCCTCTGTCTAATATTTGAACGTTGTCCCAGTCGAATTGATGTCCGTGGTTGTCTGTATGTAGTGATATGAGGGAGTGGATATCATGTCTTTTGACAGCTAGCTTATGATCGTGGATACGAAGGGAACATCCACTTTGGCCAATGTAGTGTTTTTCCCATTTGATACAATCTATTTTGTAGATGATGTTGGTTTTATCTTCCTTCGCTGTTGAGTCTTTTGGTTGACATGGAATTGATTGAAGTGACTTTGTTAGTTTGTGTACGACGTCCATTCCCAAAGTTTTGAATAGTCTTGTAGTGATTTCTGAGATGTCCTTTATATATGGTAAGGCAATTTTCTTTGTGCTTTCCTTGGGGGCTTTTGGTGTGATTGGTTGGCTTGAGGGTATATGTCTTTTGATGAAATTCCGTGGATATCCATTCTTTTGGAAGACGTCCATGAGATATCTATAACTATTCCTTTGCTTTGAGCTCTGAAGTTCCAGTAGCTGTGGTGTTGATTTTACAGGGTGAGGGGTGTTAGCTTCACAAGCAACCCTCCTTCTGTTTTTCCAGGCTTATTAGAAGAAAGTACACTGGGTCAGGTTTAGGAGTGTGCTAGTGGCCAGGAATGAACCTCTGACCTCCCTCCCGAATGTAACTGACAAGTATTATGCCACTGTACTACCGACACACTTGTAAACAAATTCCACTAAAATCAATATACTTTGTGCTACATGTATTCAGTATTACAACAGTCGGAAGTTATAATGCCTAATATTTATTATTTGATTACTTAAACTTTTGTAATCGGTCTCCAGTTGACATTTATGTATAACCTATGGACGTTTAGGAGAGAGACGGGATGTTGACGTTTAAGCAAAGTACAATGTATATAAACGCAAGTTCTTATCCCTCAACTCCTATATTATTATTTGTTCTGCTTAGACCAAAGACATATTAAAACACCAAATCGATTGACCAAACTTAGTATTATTATAATTGTCCCCTTGAGTTCCTAGTGGAACATAGGGCTACAACTGCTTCAACGTCTCCACCTCCTTCTGTCTTCTGCTGTACTTTTCACTTGAATCTACGTTAGTCCATACTGTTTCAACTCGTCTCCACATAATCTCCTCCATGTCACCCTTCGACGTCCCACTACTCGCCCCCTCCCTTTTCCGGTTCAACTCGACGCGATGTCAACCAGCGGCCTCCTCAGCTCACCGAGTGTCCGATCAATCTCCACTTTCTCCTGCATATTTGTTGAACGATTGGTTCTTGTTTCGTTTGTTCCCATAGTTTCTTGTTGGTCTTTCTTTCTTTCCGGCCATCTGATCTTCAGTATATAGCCAGCGAAGACAGTTGATGATTGATAAAGGTTTGCAACAGGCTTTTGGAAATATTGTTTGTGACACACTGGCCAAGTTTCTGATCCATCCGTATAGAAGAACTGACTGACTGACTTGACGTCGTTTGTATTGAAAATCCGAATCACTTTGTTGTTGACGCAGGCTGAGTTGAGTGACGAAGATTTCCAGATTGGTTTCAGGTTGATGAATGTGTTTCTCGCCTTCCCGATTCTCGAGTTGACATCCTCGTCCGTCCGTTTCTCCTGTAGTTGAGACAATGCTCCCTAGATAAGTAAGTGAATGAAGTAACCTCTTTCAAATCCCTCCCGTTGATGGTGATTGGCGGTGGATCACCAACCTCGCGCTGACTGAATGGTTAGGACTCTCGCCGACCATGCACATGGTCCGGGATTCGAACCCCTACTGACGCACACCCGATATCAATGGTCGGCCTGAGAAATTTGGGCTACCGATATCCATGCCGAAAATTCCATACTTGTACTGAAAATACGGTGTGGCATCAAGCTGTAATCAAAATTATAAATTATTTTAGTCTACCATTTTGCAATGTAGTCATCAGGCTAGATGAATATATATATTGTGAAGCTGTTTGAATTAGACCTAGACGGTTGAAGGCGAGTCCATCAACAAAAACAGATGTACGGAGCGAAACATTATAAATATTACTGCAACGGTCAAATTTTCATAGTGTTTCCGTGGAATAACAGTGTCAAGTGGCGACATGCAAAATTGTAGGCGTCCTAGAGTATTTGTTGTTAACATCCTTGCACAATGGAAAATATTCGCATATTTTACTTTGCTTTCGGCATTTAGACACGGAAATCCAGTTGTCGTCAAATCCCGGGATGGGAGTTTTTTTGTAGGTCACGTCGAAGCTTTCGATCGACATTTAAACATTATGTTGATAAATGTTACTAAGATTTGGTTCGACAGAAGCACGGATGGATTCGTTCTGCGAGATATCCCTTTAACGCGAGAGTCTCACTGAGAGGAAATTCAGTAACTGCAGTTATGGAAAATCCATCTCCGTTGGAACTGCAATTGATGGTGCGACTATAAACTTTTATATACCTGAAAGATAAATCTTACTACTGTTGTGTGAACTTGAGTGTTGGATCTATAAAAAACTGCAAACATATGCAAACGAGGATTTTAGAGAGCTCAGTAATCTTCAGCTGAAAAAACAGAAACATCAAGAGTTTGAGTTCGAAGTAACAGTTCATGCTGAAACACTGTCAGCTCTGGATTCTGCGAGAGAAGAAATGATTGGTCAGGGGCACTACGCAACAGACATTATCAAAAACCGTCTTGATGAATTGCATGCCCTGTGGGAAAGGCTTATGTCTATTTTCAGAGAAAAATCATGTCTTATTAACCTAACGCTTAAATTTGTCCAGTTTTTACGCCAAGTCGACGAGATACTTTTCTGGATACGTGAAAACGAAACTTACGTAACATCAGAGGATTTAGGTCAAGACTTGGAACATGTTGGGACACATCGAAAAACGTTTGATGAGTTTACAAAAGATCTCGAGTATCAAGGAAGTCGTGCAGAAGACATCTATCGGAAGGCAGATGAACTTCTAAAAGAGAAATTTCCTGAGGATGCCCTAGTCATAGAAAAGTTCAGACAGGTCCGCGAAGCTCTAGAACGTCTGAAGGATCTGGCTAGAAAACGACAAGAAAAGCTCCTGGAAGCCTATGAGATACAGCGCTTCTTTAGAGGCACAGATAAAGCTATATCGTGGGTGAATGAAAAATCCATTCCTTTATCCATTGAGGACTGCGGTCGTGATCTTGCTTCAGTCCAAGCCTTACAAAGGAAGCACGAAGCATTAGAAAGGTATTTGACTGCCCCAGATGAAAAGATTGTTCAACTTGGAGATGATGCTAAGGCGCTTGCACAGAAGCATCCTGATTCGCAAGACACCATACAAGGCAAGTATGACGCCTTAATCACTGCATGGGATAAGCTGAAAAGTCAGGCTGTAGGTAGGAGAGGTAAACTGGAAGAGTCATTCAAGATGCATCGCTTTTTGGCTGACTGGAGAGACTTGAGTATCTGGATGAATGACATGAAGACGTTAATGTTGGCGGATGATTTGACAAAGGATGTAGTTGGTGCTGAAGCCCAAGTAGAGCGACATAAGGAATACACCACTGAGATAAATTCTCGAGCTGACAGTTTCGATACATGCATGCAAGAAGGTCAGGTATTACTAAGTGTTGGCCATCCCTGTAATGGAGACATAGTTGCTAAACTTTCCACCCTTGAAAAAGAGAGAGCCTCCTTGATGCAGTTGTGTGAGGAAAGACGTGAACAGCTAGAACAGTGTATGGGCCTTCAGTATTTTTACCGCGACGCTGAACAGTCAGAATCTTGGATTGGTAAGCAAGAGGCCCTCCTAGAAATAAAAGATGTGGGGGACTCACTCGATTCTGTGGAAGCACTCATAAGGAAACATGAAGACTTCGAAAAGTCGCTTGAAGCACAAGAAGAAGAGATGCAACAACTTGATGAATTCGCTGCAAAATTAATCGAGTCAAACCACTATGCGGCTGCACAGGTTCATGAGATTCAGGAAGGTCTTCAAAATAGACGAAATGCATTAAAGGAGAAAGCTCAGAACCGCCGTCAGCGTCTTCAAGATTCCCACCGTTACCAAATGTTCGATAGATATGCGGATGAAGTGCAGTCATGGATATCAGACAAACTTAGAAATGCACTTGATAAAAGTTACAAAGACTCCACGAATTTGCAAACAAAGGTGCAGAAGCATCAGAGTTTTGAGGCAGAAATACAAGCGAACCAATCCCGCGTTGAAGATATTAAAAAGACAGGTCAGGATTTGTTAAATGCAAACCAATAATAATAATAATTTCTGGAACAGAAACCAGCCATTTTTACAGGCATGAACAAATGTACACTAATTAGAACTTATAGAATATATAATATGATTTGTTAATCTAGAAATAGATTGAATACTGGTAAATTTGAGAGAAATGTTTAAAAAGAAATGTACAAATAAGGCAATAGGTAATTTTCGAGATATGCTTTCAACTGAATAATTCATGAGATATAGCATCAAATCAAAACTGTAATTGAAAAAAATACGGTATGTCAATTTCACGCGGGAATTATAAACGATTACGTTAATTGTGGAAGGTAAGTAGCATTTTTGTACAGGTGCTGACGTGAAATATAAGAGATGCGGAATGAACAGTAATTGCAAGTAAATGATTCATAGAGTGTTTGAAAGTCCATAAAACTTCAAATTCACCGGTAAGTACACCATAATTGTGACATTTCCAGTTGTATATGAGACCAACTTTGAACTTGTCAGCAGATTTCATGATAGAGGTGGTTCCGTTATTCACCAGGTGGGCTAGCAATATTCCGAGGATAGCGGCACTGTTTCAGTGCCTTCGTTTAAGGCAGTACCTTTGAAAAGAGAAGAAGACACAAGGAAACCGACAGAGAGGTTGGGCACGTGTTAATCGCGACAGATAGATAGACTATATGATAGACAGCTAATCAATATGATGTGACCTTCTTGTCGCGATTATTGGTCAATTTATTGTAACTCACACCACGTGATGTGACCTTGAGTGTTCTTTGTTGTCTGTCACTTTATTTGTGTGTACATGTAATTAATTAGCTGTTCATTTTGTAAGTTCCTTCGATACTGTTCGGTACGTTTTTGTCCTTTTTTGAATGACAGTGGATTTGTATATTTTTCTTGATGTTTCAGAAACAGATAAAGTTTAAGTCAAGTCATTCTGTTTTAACCATAGCTAAGCCAAGACTCACTCGATTCTGTGGAAGCACTCATAAGGGAACATGAAGACTTCGAAAAGTCGCTTGAAGCACAAGAAGAAGAGATGCAACAACTTGATGAATTCGCTGCAAAATTAATCGAGTCAAACCACTATGCGGCTGCACAGGTTCATGAGATTCAGGAAGGTCTTCAAAATAGACGAAATGCATTAAAGGAGAAAGCTCAGAACCGCCGTCAGCGTCTTCAAGATTCCCACCGTTACCAAATGTTCGATAGATATGCGGATGAAGTGCAGTCATGGATATCAGACAAACTTAGAAATGCACTTGATAAAAGTTACAAAGACTCCACGAATTTGCAAACAAAGGTGCAGAAGCATCAGAGTTTTGAGGCAGAAATACAAGCGAACCAATCCCGCGTTGAAGATATTAAAAAGACAGGTCAGGATTTGTTAAATGCAAACCACTACAACTCACTAGAAATAAAAGTAAAGATTGAACAGTTGGATGAAACTTGGTCTCATCTCGTAAATGCCATGGGAGACAAGAAGAAAAATTTAGATCAAGCAAGTAGGCAACAACAGTTCGCTCGCAACATAGAAGATGTCAAGTTATGGTTGAATGATGTTGAAACTCAGATAACCTCAGAGGATGTCGGTCGTGATCTAAACGGTGTGATGAACGCACAAAAGCAGCACAACTTGCTTGAATCTGATGTGGCTGCTCATCGTGAACGTATAGATACATTCAAAGTCCAGGCTGACACGCTTGCTGCAGAAAGTCATTTCGACGCTCCTATTATCCAAGAAAAACAAAGACAGTTAGCCCAACGTTACCATGACCTGCAAATCTCTCTAAGTCAACGTTGTG